TATCTTGCCCGCTGCTCCCCTCAGCAGTGTATTAGAGTAGATCCGCCTGTTCTGCTCCCCACTCAGATTCTCTGGTGAATCCGCTCACCCCCACACCTCTGGCCTACACCCCAGTTCTTCTATGAAAAAATAAAGAAAATTTAAAAAAAGAAATATGAAAGAGTAGAGATAATTCTGACAAAGGGTATGAAAAATAGATACACCGTAAACTATAAAACATTGCTGAAAGTAACTGAAGAAGGTCTTTTTAAAAAGGACACCATAGGGGCCTCCCTCGTGGAGTAAGGGTTAAGACGCAACCTATGAAGCAATCCGCAGCCACTGCAGCACGAGTTCAATTCCCGGCCAGCCAGGAAGCAACCCACCTCTCCTGACTTGCCCGCAGCAGACCTCTCCTGACTTGCCCGCTGCTCCCCTCAGCAGTGTACTTCGGTCAATCTGACTGTTCTGTTCCCCACTCTGTCTCTGGTGAATCCTCTCACCCGCCCCACACACACCTCTGGCCAGTACCCCCAGCTCTTGCATGCATAAATAAATAAATCTTTTTAAAAAATGATGGTAGCATGTGGCAATTTCTAACATTCAAAAAAAAAGGGGCAAGATACATGCTGTTCTTTTTTTTAAGATTTACTTATGCATACAAGAACTGGGGTACAGGTCAGAGGTCCTAGGGAGGTGAGAGGATTCACCAGAGACAGAGTGGGGAGCAGAATAGGCGAAATACACTGCTGAGGAGAACAGCGGGCAAGACAGGAGAGGTCTGCTGTGCCATGTGGGTAGCTGGCAGGCCAGGGATCAAACTTGTGCTGCAGTGGCTGCGGATAGTTTCACAGTGCTTAACCCCTTGCGCCACCAGGGAGACTTGATACATATTGTTTAAGTCAGAAAACAAAATATCACTAAAACATCAATTTTTTTTAATATTTTATCTTATATAATTCTTACATCATTTTTCATCTTTGTACAATGTATGCATTTTCATTTTGGTTATATTCCCCATACAATTGCACTCCCCCTTATTTTGACTCTAGTTCTTCCTCTCCCCACCCCTCTCTAATCCCCCCTCCCCCACCCCGTAGTGTGTCTCTGGTTTATAGTTGCTTGTTTTTTTTGTTTTTTTTTTTAAAGAGGCATGTATTATTTGTTTGTTTGTTTATACAAGCACTGGGTACAGTCAGAAGCGCGGGAGGGTGAGAGAATTCACCAGAGCCAGAGCGGGGAGCAGAGCAGGCAGAAGGACCGAAGTACACTGCTGAGGGGAGCAGCGGGCGGCAGGAAAGGTCTGCGCGCCATGTGGGACCCTCCTTCGGTGGCCGGGGAGCAGCCGGGGATCGAACCGGCGCTGCAGAGGCTGCGGGCAGCTTCGCAACCCAGCGCTCAACCGCTGTGCCACCGGGGAGGCCCTATAGTTGCTTGTTGATTTTGATTATTACTTTGCATTGATTAGTCTTTTTCCTGGTCCCTTATTTAGGTTTTCTAAATTCCTGCTATGAGTGAGACCATCCGGTATTTTTCTTTTTCTTTCTGACTTACTTCGCTGAGCATGATCCCTTCTAGCTCCACCCTTGTTGCTGCAAACTGCATGTGTTTTTCTTTTTTGATTGCTGAGTAATATTCCATTGTGTATATGTACCACATTATCTTCTTATCCAGTCATCTATTTTGGGGCATTTGGGTTGTTTCCAAAGCTGAGCTATTGTAAATAGTGCTGCTATAAACATAGGGGTACAGGTGCCCTTTGGAATTACTGTTTCTGTGTCATTTGGGTAAATACCTAGGAGTAGAATTGCTGGATCATATGGAAGCTCTATGTTTAGTAGGTCAAGAAATCTCCACACAGCTCTCCATAGTGGTTGGACCAGTTTGCACTCCCACCAACAGTGCAGGAGAGTTCCTTTTTCTCCACAACCTCGCCAACATTTGTTGTTGCTAGTTTGTGTAATATGTGCCATTCTCACTGGTGTAAGATGGTATCTCATGGTAGTTCTGATTTGCATTTCCCTGATTACAAGTGATGCTGAACATTTTTTCATATGCCTGTTGGCCATTTGCATTTCCTCTTCAGAGAAGTTTCTTTTTAGCTCTTCTGCCCATTTTTTGACTGGATTATTTTCTTTGTTTTTGTTGAGTCTCATCAGCTCTTTGTAGATTTTTGTGATCAGTCCTTTATCATAAGTGTTGTATGCGAAAATTTTCTCCCAGTCAGTGGGGTTTCTCTTTGTTTTGGTTATTGTCTCTTTTGCTGTGCAGAAGCTCTTTAATTGATGTAGTCCCAGCTGTTTATCTTTTTCTTCACTATCACTGCTTTGGGTGATGTGTCTGTAAAGATGTCTTTGATGTGCATGTCATGTAGTGTTTCACCTATATTTCCTTCTATGTATTTTATGGTTTCAGGTCTTATGTCTAGGTCTTCAATCCATTTTGAGTTGGTTTTTGTGCATGGTGTGAGGTAGTAGTCAAGCTTCATTCTTTTGCATGTAGCGACCCAGTTTTCCCAGCACCATTTATTGAACGAACTTTCTTTGCTCCAGTGCATATTCTTTGCTCCTTTGTCAAAGATTAGTTGACCATAAATCTGTGGGTTTATTTCTGGATTTTCTATTTGATTCCATTTGTCTGTTCTTGTTCCAATACCATGCAGTTTTGATGATTATGGCTTTGTAGTATAGTTTGAAGTCAGGGAGTGTGATGCCTCCATTCCCTTCTCTTTTTTTTTCAGGAGAGCTTTGGCTATTCGGGGTTTTTGATGATTCCATATGAATTTCATCAATAATTGTTCTATTTCTTTGAGGAATGTCATTGAAATTTTTATTGGAATAGCACTAAATCTGTATATTGCTTTTGATAGGATGGCCATTTTAATAATGTTTATTCTTCCAATCCATGAGCAGGGGATGTCTTTCCATTCTTTGTGTCTTCTTCTATTTCTTTTAACAGTGTAAAACATCAATTTTGTGTTCCCCATATTGTCTATATATTTAATGTAATTCCATGAAAATCCCAGTGAAACTTTTTTTTCAAAGATTTATTTTTATACAAGAATTGGGGTATAGGCCAGAGGCATGGGAGGGTGAGAGGATCCACCAGATGGAGAGCAGGGAGCAGAACAGGCAGACAGACTGAAAGCACTGCCCAGGGGAGCAGCAGGTAAGACAGGAAAGGTCTGCCACGCCATGTGGGAATCTCCCTGGCCAGCTGGGAATCAAACCCATGCTGCAGAGGCTGTGGACAGCTCCACAGCGCAGTGCTCAACCCGCTGCACCACCGGGGAGTAAAACTTTCTGTAAAAACCCCAGTGACACTTTCTGTAGAAAGTGGCCTACTCAGAAATGTTCAGAGCAGTCCTAACAGCCAAAACTTGGAAATGATACAACATCAACCACCAGGTGAATGGATAAACAAATTGTGGTATATCCATGCAACAGTATATTATTCCACAATAAAAAGGAATAAACTGAAACACACTACACAGTGGATGCATCTTTAAAAAGTTACACCCAGTAAAAGGAGGCAAAATCCACAATGACAGAAAGCAGTTCAACGGTTGCCAGGGGAGGAATGATGTATTACAAAGGCCCTTGAGGCAACTTTTGGGGGTGACAGATACGTTCATGCTCTTCATTTAGGTGATAGTTTCATGGATGTAAACATACAGGAAAACTTAGCAAATTATGCACTTTAATAGGTATGGTTTACTGTATATCATTTATATCTTGATAAAGTTGTTTGGAAAAAAAAAAGATCAAGAAGGATATGGGCCATGTAGCTAACAAACCACAGTTTGCAGAACTGAATCAAGGGCTTCAGCCCTCTTTTCTTCTCTGAGTGAGGACCAGGGCTTTTCAAAAGCTCCAAATGTGCATTTTACAAAGGCAATCAGAGCAGCCAGGCTCTCCACCTCTGCCCCCCATCCTTACTGCCTCTCTTCACCTCAACTCCCCAGTTTAAGAGGTTATGAAACATTATATGCTTATGAAACTACATCTCCACCTCACTTCCACTATGAGACAGACTTAAAATTCAGTAACTCCAAGAAGAAAGATATTTTATTGTGTGAACAGAGTCCCACCAGAAGGAATGCACTACCAGAGATTCCAGTTGTTTCCACTGTTTTCTTTTTTTTTTTTAAGATGTATTTATTTATACAAGAACCAGGGTACAGGCCAGTGGTAAGGAGGGTGAGAGGATTCACCAGAGACAGAGCGGGGAACAGAACAGGCAGACTGACTGAAACACACTGCTGAGGGGAGCAGCGGGCGAGACAGGAGAGATCCGCCTCACCATGTGGGTTGCTCCCTGGCTGGCCGGGGATCGAGCTCATGCTGCAGAGGCTGTGGATTGCTTCATAGTGAGGTGCTTAATCCCATGCGCCACTAGAGAGGCCTTCAGTTGTATTCTTAATTAAGAGATATATGTCCCTCTGCCACAGTACAGAGGAAAACACCCAGACAGCACTAAGGGTCACTGAATGTTACAATCAGATTTGACTGCATGTAATAGAAAACCCAATCATTTACATACAAGAATTTATTGTCTCACTTTTATTAAAGCCCAGAGGTAAGAAAAAAGGGACTATTTTGACAACTCTGTGATGTCATCAGGCTCTCAGGCTTCTTCTGCCTCCTTTAACATGTGGCTTCCATCCCCGAGGTCACATGATGTCTGCTGGAGATCTCTGATCTGAGCAGCAGGAGCAAGGAAGGGAGAAAGGCAAAGGGCGGTATCCCCACTGCCCTGGAAGGCAAAGTGGTGCTACCCAGAGGAGGGAGAGGTGATCACCAGGCGGTCAGGTGCCTGACCATTTGAGTCAAAAAGATCGTGGACACCAGAACAAGCCTGGGCTGGCACTTGGGCTGGCTTGTACCCTTGTGGGCGCTCCCTGAAAGAGTGGATCACCAGAGCTGAAACATGACCTTTGGGTAAACAGTTGACATTTGAACAATATAGATTTGAACTGTGAGGTTCATGTCTAAGTGAATTCTGTCTTTTTTTTTTCCCCAGTGGAGAGTACACAGGCAGTACTCCATCAACACAAATTGTACAGTCCAGTTTCTCACATTTGGAGAAACTGCCAGGGTCAGCACATCCAGAGTGCAGTGGATAAACAACACCCTGGGAAAACCACCTTCATGACCATGGTATTGCCCCTGCCAGGTAAGTGTGCAGATTTTCTTGTTAACAGACCAGTAAACACAGAATATTGATAAACACAGACCAGTATTATAAATGCATTTTCTCTTCTTTCCAATTTTCTTAATAACCTTCTCTCTAGCCTACTTTACTGTGAGAACACAATATATAATACATATAACATATAAAATATGTGTTATCAGTAATTTATGTTATGGTAGCAGATGACTATTAGTAATTAAGTTATAGAGAAATCAAAAGTTACACTCAGGTTTTTTACTGCTGCGGAGAGAGGTGCATGTGGTCAGCGCTCCTATTATTCAAGGGTGGACTGCAAGGCACAATAATTGAGTGTGGTGCTAAGATTTTCTTTCCCTTGCAGAGATTCCACGAAAGAGCTCCACTTCTGTGTCCTGGTCCCACCCTTCAGGGACTGCATTACAAGTGCAGGCAGGGCCTCTCCCCATGGAGTTAACCTGGCACTGGGAAACACCATAAAGGTTCTGCCCTTGCAGCTTTCTCCCAGGCTACTCAGATACCCAGTGTTTCTGAACTGCCTGTGGTAAGCTGGGTGAACAGGCACAGTCAAGCAAGAGGAGTATTTGTTGTGCCTGAGCACATACTTGAAAAGTGGTTACATTCCCCAAATTCAGAAAAGTAAGTATATTATCATCAGGGGAGGTAGAAAAGCAGTGGGAGTTCTGTTCAAAATGAAGGAAATGTTTCTATCAGGTAGTGAGAGGTATAGAAAAGGCAGTCAGAAGGCGGTTGCTCTCATCAGCCCTGGCTCTTCTCTCAGCCAACAACATCTGCCCAGCCCCCATTCTCTGATGCTAGAGCCAGGAGCATATGCCCCGCACCCCAAGTGGCCTCACCATGCCTTATGAAACTGAGCTTCTGGCTGCTTCACACCTGGGAGGCATCAGGTATTTGACCAAGTGGTTGGCTCTCCAACTGGAGGTCTCCCTTAAGCACAAGCTTGGGAAGTAGGCAGCCCCCCTACCCCAAAAGAGGAGTGCTGCTGCCTTCACCATGGTGACCATCTGGGTATTTTTTCCAGATTTGGTGCTCTGACCATACTCCTCCAAGGACCAGCTTCTCCTCAGCTGCTGGGCTCCTCCACCAGTGTCGGTGAACAAGATCCAAGTGAGCCCAGCTGTATTCCCTCAAAACTCATAAAAGCACTAGAGGCCCCAGGACACAACACCAGGAGTGGGTAGGAAGCCTGGAAGGGAATATCCTGGACTTCTGGGCCTCCTGCCCAAGCAGAATACTTCAGTTACAATTATAATAATAACATTCTTTTTGTTTAAAAATAGATTTAAGAGAATTAAGGGCTATAAAGTAAAATAAGTCTCCCTCTTCCCACACTTAGGGGGAACTCCCAGGAACCACAATAGGTATAATTTTATAGAAATATTCTTTCCAAGCGTATTCTGCTGAATGCACTTGAAATGATTTTATTTATAAATAATTCATTTAATAATAGTGACTAATTTATAATGTACACCTTATTTACACTGAAATTGTAAGTGGAAAAACTAAAGTAGCTAAAAACAAGTGGCTGATCACCTCCCCAGAGTGCAGTTTTTGAAATGACCACCAGGTGTCAGAGTTATCAACAATATTCTCAAAAATACGACTGGAAAGTTACAGGGGAAAAGTGCCTGGTTGGAAATGAGATGGCAAGATCCCTCCCTGAACAGAGTTTATTTGGCCCTTTGACCCAGTATTTCATCTAGTTAGGGTTGGGGGAAGGGATTAAATGAACCTGCAGAAAAAAAAATATTTATTTCTTAGACCACAGATTCCCCTTCAGCTGGGTACCCTTTGATCTTTACAGCTCTGTTAAAGCGCTATTACATTTCACATGGGAAATAGAAGAATGGCTGGAAGTTAACCCTTCTACAGCTGCGAGGCTACTTTTGAAAGCCAGAGCCATATTTCCACTCCTCAGTCGGCAGCTGAGAAGGAGTGGAAAGAGAGAGGGGGACACCCACAGGAGGAAGCTTTGTTAAAGCCATCCCTGATTTTCAAAAGGAAATTCCACTTCTTCATGAGTTCTTCCTACTTAACCTTCCTACTTAACCTCACTTCCAATTTGACTGCTCACATATATTTCCTTTACCAGGCCAGACCTGGCTGTTGTCTAGAGCTGCCCAGCTAGGAAACATTGGCCTCCGTGCTTGAGAGCAGCGGGTAGGGCGGCTCCCACCACAACTTTCAGGATGTCGCCCAGGGGTAGTTACACTGCTCTTCCTCCAGGGGTCAGGGGTTGGCACTACACATAGGCTCAAGGACTCCCAGCGACGCCCATGGCAAGCCTCATCCTGTATATTTTTGAATTTCAAATATCCAGGCGAGGAGGGATGGTACTGAAGCATTTACAACAAAATGAGTGTGAGAAGGGGACGACCTTGGCTCCAGAATGAGCAAACCTCTTCTTGGAGGGCACAGCTAAGAAGTATCAGAGAGAAAGGAGAATCCTTGGTATATGTCCCAGCTGACGTGTCTAGGCTGTTCCTTGGATCACATGCCACTTCTGGCTGTGGGGCTAGGAAGGGGTTAACAGACCCATATATCCTAGAGCTTTTCATAGGTGCAACATTTCTATGGATTAAGATGCCAAGCTTGTGGAAGTGGGTAGGAAACAGGAGAAGAGAGGTAAGAAAGCAGTTCAACTTTTCACTGACCATGTTATTGATATTGAAACACTACTTGAGACTTGTGATTTCCATGAATTGTGACAGGCAGATTAAGGCAACCTTTTCAGGTGATTTGAATGACCTCATCTGCTAAACTGGCACATTCTATGTAGGCCAAATGAAGCAACAGTAATTATTTAAGTCACTATACACCTTAAATGCTACATACATAATTTAAGATGATACACCTGGGGTGCCATACACATAATAAAAATGCCAGCTATTATTAAAACATAGGTAGTATTCATATTCAGATATGAGTATGCATTGTGTTTGATGTTTCAAACATAATATACAAGCCAAATGCTTCACTTAAAATAAAAAGGGATAAAACAATGTTTATATTGGGATCCACATTAATCTACCATGACTGGTATAATAACTGTTGCTTTGAAGTGGCCAATGCTGGTATGGCAACAGATTTTTTTTTCCATTATCCCATTGCATATAAGAGGTAAAGAACAGAAAGAATCTCTCATAATGCTAACCATACTATACCCCTGATCATTTCAGTGTTCTGGGAATGTTCTCCCTATGGAGATCAGACTGAGCCAAAGGAGTGGCCTCATCTGCTCCAGGTTTGTCTACCTCAAGGAGGCCAGGATAAACATGGGCCTTCCCTGAGGGTACCAAAGACACTACTTGGTGACTCCTGGACCCACCATATTCCTGATAATTCAAAGAGCATCCCAAATCCCTGAAAAGTCTTGCTATCCATCACAGTTTCTAATTCATTAGGTCACTTGAATGACAAAGGTTTCACAAGCCCAAAACAGACATCACTGGTCTAGGTGTATCTTGAGATCCCCAGCTCCAAGGTCCTCTGGAGAAGGAACAACAACCAACAGTGTCTCGCGGGTGCGCCTCACAGAGTCAAATACCTGCTTGCCACCCACCCCCTCCAGTTTAATCACGCGTTGGGTAGGTGAGTCAGAGAGGAGGTGGGTGGTTGTGTTTGGTTTTGCCATGTTTTTGGTATCCTAATAACAATGGCTCCTCCCTCTACTTAATCTTTCCACAGAGACCCCACCTCCAAGCCTAGCACTCAGTCAAAAGGCCTGATTCAGAACCTCCAGTCTCTTCACCAGTACCCAGGCTGTCTCCCTTCTATAAAGTGAGTGAGGAAATTGTTAATATGAACACATAAAAATAAAAGACTTCCTGAATTTCCTGAATCAGGTATGAGTTTGGGGGTAAGATAAGGCCAAGTTAAAAACTCAAAGGTCACCGACCATAATTATCCCTTCCATAAGGGCAGCCTTCCGCACCTGTAGCCAAGCAGCTTCTGAGGCTGACAAATAGCTGTGCCTGTCGAAACGCCAGAGGAAGCATTCCTCACCAGGTCTCCCAGCCCTAGCTTCAGCGACAGGGACCAGAAAAGTAAACAGACTAAACCAAGAGAAACAAGAGAGAACTGGTTCTCCTGCTCTCTAGATGGTTCATGACATTTCGATTATATTCAACACAATACAGCTGAATTATTTTTAACCTTCAAGGGAACTCCTGGCTTCACAAAAGAAATATTAGATGGTAGAGTTGAAGGATAGTGAGAAGCAGAGACCAGGAAAAAATTCACCAGTAGAAATGAGCCTGAAAATGGTACTCTCCACAGTATGGGATAGGTAATGTGTGGCACATTTTATTCAAGGAACCATGAATGTTTTGTTTTAGGTGTTGCTTATTGGCAATTTATCTCTCAGCATTATATTCTGAATTTTCTTTATGCAGTTTCACCACTAGTTCAGCAAATGGCAGAGAACCCTCAGTCCTGATCTTAGTAACTCTGCTGCATGTTTACTAGATTATAATAGAACAGTTCAAGATAATCCCACCTAAAGTCAACACAAGAGTTCTTAATGCAGCCTTTTGGACAACTTGACTCAGGGTCTAAACAAACTGACCTCATTTTTTATACCTCTACCATGGGGTGGGAGGTGAGAGAGGAGAGAAAAGTCCATTCCTCCTTTATTCCACTTTTCTTCCCCACCCCATGCTATGAAAATCTTTCAAAACTTATCAAACGTATAAAGTTCGTTTGATTGTGGTACTAGAATTTAACACAAGACTTGCAAATTCTAGTGCTTTACAGGTGCCAAATAGATTTCTTTCACAGTATCATCTTGAGCTGAATTCTTCTGACCCTAAAGCACCTGCTTTTTTAATATATCCATCCTTCTTGAAATAAGCCCACTTTTAATAGAGACATGGGTATGAGAAATAGCTTACTTTTCCCTTAATTCTATTACCAGAAAAACAATACACAAGTTTGATCATATCTGGCAGCTGACCGCCAACCTCAACATTTGGGAAGCAATAGAGAGTAATGG